CCTTTCAAAATTTTAAATGTCCAGACTAAATCGTTTCTGGATCGTCTTTCGGACAGAGTGCAAAGTTTTAGTTCTTGGAGCCTCTGAGAATACGGAAGGTTATGTAGGCTGGCGACCGTTTTGGTTGCGCGTCTTTGAGCTCGCTCTAATAACTCAATGTCTTTTTGTAAGAAAGGACACCAGACAACAGATGCGTATTCCAACTGAGGTCTAACATAAGATTTATACAATGTCAGAAATGACTCCTTCGATAGACTTTGGAAGGCTTTTCGAAGCAGATACATCGTAATGTTTGTTTTTTTAACAGTTTTTAAAGAGTGGTGCGACCATTTGAGGTCGCTTTGAATCGTGATACCAAGATCTACATACTTATCAACCGCTTTGATGAGATCGTTGCCAATACGATAGTTTAAACATGGATTTTTTGCACCCAGATGAAGAATGACGCACTTTTCTTTGTTAATAGGAATTAGCCACAGATCGCACCATTGTAGCACAGTATTTAGGTCTTCGATTAGGATATTATAACTGCTATTGGGATAGTTAAAAATTTTAAGATCATCCGCATAAAAGGCATGATCTGATTTTAGAAGACGACTTAAATCAGATATATAAAGAACAAATAAAACAGGTCCTAGGACGGATCCCTGAGGAACTCCGGATTTTACAGCATAATTATTGGATAATGAATCACCAACTCTGACGTAAAAGACACGTTCAGATAGGAAAGCGGATATCCACTTCAAGAGATTACCCTTAATACCTAACTCTCTCAGTTTGTGTATTAGCCTTCGATGAGGAACTTTGTCGAATGCCTTTTGAAAATCTATATAAACAATATCAACGGAATCACCACGGTCAATAGCTTTGGTCCATTTATCTAAACAGTATAGAAGGCATGTCTCAGTGGAACGACCAGGGAGAAAGCCATGTTGTTCGTCAGGTACTATACCTTCATGAATAGCAAAATGAATTATTCTTTTACACAAAATTCGTTCCATTAATTTACAGCAAACTGCAGTCAAACTTATAGGACGATAGTTTTTACGGTCAGTTTTGTCACCTTTTTTAAAAATGGGTGTGACAGAAGATTTTAACCAGTCGGACGGTAAAGAAGTTGAAAGTAAAGACTGGGACATTATGTGAGCAAGAGGCTTGGCTAATTGCAGAGCATATTTTTTTAAGAAAGAACCACAGATATTATCAGGACCAGGGGCACTATGTTCAGAAAGGTTCAATAGCTCACAATAAACTATAGCTTCATTTATTTCTATAGTATCAAGATACGATGATGTCGGGGGAGAACTAGGTAGATTTTGAGAGTCTTCACTGGTATATGTACTGGCAAAAAATTCTGCTAGTATTTCAGCCGATTCAGAGTTGGATTTAGAACAATAACCATCGTTGTTTTTTACAGTAGGCAAAGAAATTTTCGAACACAGTTTGCGTTTAGTATATTTATACACTGCTTTTGGTCCTCTGTTCAACAAGGAATTTTCATAAATTTGTCTGGCCTTATTTAAATCTTTGCTTAGTATATTGGCAAAACTACGGTGCAACTCAACATCTTCTGTTTTCTTTGTCAGTTTATATTTTTTCCACAATTTTCTTTTATACTTAACCCTTCGCAGTAAATCCCCTGAAATCCAAGGTTTTGTACTATTCGACTGCTTGACTTTCGTCTTACTGTTGTTAGCAACTACACTATGTATTGTGTTTTTGAATACATTCCACAAAGTTTGTACTTCAGAAATAGAGTAAAAGGCTTCCCAGTTGAGGTGGTCCATGACAAAAGAAACTTGATTATGGTCGATTATTTTGTATAACTCTTTCCTGTGTTTTGAAGCTGTGACTAGAGTTATCTGGATATTAGATTCTATTACTGCATGATCAGAAATGCCTATTGGAGAGGAAATGTTAATATCAGAAAGAAGAGTAGTATCATTAATTAGAATTAAGTCTAAGAGTGACGGGGTATTACCAAGTCTAAATCGAGTGGGTTCGTGCACTAGTTGATTATAATTAGAGTCAAGATACATTTCTACAAAGAGTGAATTCGTATTATTACCTTCTGGTATATATGTAATGGGCCATTTAATATCTGGCAGATTAAAATCTCCACAGACAATTAAGCAACTATAATAATCGGAAATTCTCTTAAGTTCATTAATTAGTAGTATATCATCTGCCAGTGAGGTGGTGGGTGAACGATATATACAACCTACACAAAAAGAAACTGTTTTAAAAGATATACAGAGAAACAAACACTCAATAGTAGATGAGGTAATATTATGATGCATTTCAGAAATTCTAAAATTATGAAAATCAATTTTGTTTAGTAAAATACATACTCCACCTCCATTTCCTTTTCGATCACAACGATAGATATGATAATCAGGCAAGTCAATTAACTTATTACCAATTGATTCATTTAACCATGTCTCGGATATAGCTAAACACGAAGTTCTGTTATTCTGTAAATATAAATTTAGGGAGTTTAATTTTGCCATTATTGACGCGATATTTGTGTATGCAAAGGAAAATTGTTTTAATTCAGTTACAGTTTCAGTTTCATTAGGTAAGGGCTCACCTGGGGTATTAGTATTCGAAGCATTTATATATTCCAGTACACATGTTGATGAGTTTGTAAGTAATTGCTATTGCCGTAGGAAATTTTCTTTTTTAAATTGATCTACTGCAGCTTGATATACAGGACATCTGTTGTCCCATGCGGCATGATTTGTGTTGTGCTGAGTGTCACTATCTTTTGTTGCTTTTTTACAGTTGATACAATTGAGAGTTTGAGCTTTACATTCAGATACAGAATGTTCTAACCCGCACTTCGGACAAGATTTTGGCTGCCGACAGTTTCTTGAAGAGTGATTGAAGCCGTTGCAGTTGAAGCAGCGAACAATATCAATTGCGTCGTAAGCATAACAGTAGTCGTACCCAATGAATATTCCTCCAGCTTTCATGATGAGATTATTATACGCCTGTGTATGTGGAATCACTTTTGCAGTATACAAGGTAAAGGAAGTAATAACGACTTATCAGCATAAAGTGCTGTGTTTGTGTTTTGTTTATTGTTCTGTTGGAAACGTCTTTCACTGAACATGATAAATGTTCAGTGGAAGTTGAAGTCTTTAAAAATCCATTAAACGTAGTATAAAAGGTAGCAAGACAGCGCTATTACTTTTTTTTTACAGACATAACACTTTGCTTTAACTACAACGTCAGACATTTGGAATAAATTCAGTAATAAATCTAGACATGAAAATAGATAAACCGCTTTAGCTTTGTTTTAGGAATACATATGACATTTTTTGCTTAACATTAGAGTTATAACGTCATTGATTTTTTTTGCATCAAAAATTCTGAAAACTTTTTAAACATGCTTTGTGCGAAAAATTAATTCCAGAGATTCTGCTAAATTTCAAATTTGGTGGGTATCAATTTTGGAAAAAAGTAAGTATGTTACAATATGTCATTTAAAAATAACTTTTAACTGTTACGCTATAAAACTGAATGTCACTAGGCGAATAAATTTTTAACAAATGCTTGCAGCTTTTAGGTTGAGTAATTGTACCATTACTTTCTTTAGGTGTAAAATGAATAGCCGCATAGCAACACCCAATTATAGTGTTTATAATCCAGCAACGGTCATAAATTTGAATTATTAATTTTAACTAACTGATTATGCTTATGGCGGTAATGCCTTGAAATGTTGTCAGTTTTCCTTAAATGTTCTTTATTTTTAGATATGTAATTGCAATACTAATATTAATAGAATACAATTTTTTGAAAACTGACAGTTCTTTGCGAAGTTGGTATTCTTCCATTTTTTTTGTTATTCTTATCATACCTAAATTGTCAGCTTGAAAATTACGTAGGTATATGTATCACGGAAAGGTTCTTAGACGTACACAAATACCTACTTTTATCAAGTAAAACAAGAATTTATTAGAAAAAAAAAATATGAAAGAACACCTTAAAGTTCAAAATTAAAAAAAAAAAATAAATTGTTTTCGTTAATAAATTATTATTACTACTCGTTAGTTTTAGTAAGTCATAATTCTCCCACCACATAAATCGGTTAAATTTTCGGCTACGTTTTTGAACAGGAGTTTAACAGGTTTTTCTCAATACTTGACACCTACAAGATAATATTAATAATAAAACTGCCTTCATAGTCTAGACTTATTAAATGTGAGATCTAACAATGCTTGTAAAATTGACGTTTTATTATGTGAACAATTGGTGATTTATGTACAGTGTGAAAACATCCTTCGACATTATTCCCAAAACACATTATCCTTAATTGTGGCTATATGTAAAAATAAAAATTTATCGTCGTACGTAATATTGTCATATTCAAAGCAACAAAAAAGCTGTTTGTAATAAATTTTTTGGCAACTCCTTTTCAGTGGATCCCCGAAGGGATTGCGACCTTTGTTGTAGCAAATTAAACGAGCCTCATCAATCACACGAATGATAATAGGTCTGCATTGTTATTCCGAATATACACATAAACCTAGATATGCAATTTAGACTAACAACGTCCCTTTCTAGAGACACTGCGACAGGTACCCTCGATGAGCCAAGTCATATTGATCCTGAAGCGCACACGCTTTCAGTCACAGCCGCAAGGAGCTATATGGATGTCTGTCACTTACACTAATGAACTCATTAACTTCATCCAAAGTATGCAGATGCTTCTACATGACGAGTAGATAGTGGATACACACTCTACTTCTAGTGCAGAATAAATTTTACATCCCGATTTATAAAACGTGATCGCTTCCAATAACGGAAGACGTGGGAACGTTCCTAGTAAGTAATAATGTTTCTACGACGCGTTATCATGTTATTAGGAACTAATATCGTACGGCACCTCCGCCTTTGAGTGTTTGATTAAACTTGGCACAAATCAATTGGGTCACTTTTTCACATTATCGAGTACTGCAATATTCTAGGTATTTGAGATGCTTAAGTTCACTTACCTATCTATTGAGATCGCGACAAGGTTAAATATGGAGGATGTTGAGCATGTGACGTCCATTGCTATGTAGAAATCACAAACAAAACCGGGTAGTGTCCAGGCTCCGTTTACCTGAAAAATCATCCCTTGATTAGACAATGTTCGACCTAGTAAATAATATTGTCTAAAAATAAATACTTTGGGGTATCGAAGTTAATATTTCAGCAAAGGTTTCAGTAATACTGGCCTTGAAAAGGTTTCCGTTGGTAAGAATGTATGCTAATAGGACAGATTTAACGAAAGTATAATTTTCTGTTCTCTCAAGCAGACATTTCTACCTGTAGAAATATTTTGCTAGAAACAAAGTTCGTCAAAGTGCTAAATTAATCTTTAAAGATTTGTATGACTAGTATTATAATTATATCAAAATCTTTACATTTATCCCTTTCAGGATCTTGACGCGATTATTCCCAGAAGTTGTGTATAAATTAATTTACATATTTTGTAACATGTTAAAGCATATGTTAAAAGACGACTTTCGTGTGTATTTAATATTAAAAATAGGATTTTGTAAGATTTGTTTTAAATTAAGTTTTAGTCTCAGAGAGGGTGTATCTGCAACGCATGAATCACGGAAACTGAAACTTCTGTGACTGGGCGAAATTTCCTTCTGCTGTTCAACGAAGTTGAATTCAGAACAAGTTTTTGGTGGGATGACCTTGGAATATTTGTTTGAAGTAGTCGTGAACGTTGCGTGCTCCCTAATTCCACACTGTAGAGATGCCACTTCCAAGGAGTATCCGTCAATTTATAAATTAGAATGATATATTTACTTCTAGAAATAGTGTGTTTGAATAAGATTAGATTATTTAGACTATAATGAGAAGTTATTTTCGTATGAAACATATATAAAAGTTTCTAAATTCAAGGTTTGGTTTAAGAGACGTTACCGGATTTGTTTTTAATGTATATTTTGTGGATATTGGACATGCGGAAAGCGAGCTCGTTTTTGACACGTGATGACGTATCGTATTTATTTTTTATCGCTTCAAAAATTAGTTTAAAAATCAGTAAAAGCTTTAGGCTCTAAAATTTTGTACATTTGTGCAAATTTATCTCAGTAAACTGTAGTGCCACCGTTCAGACTCAAGCTAAGATCTTCATTTATTTTATGCTGATCTATTACCTGTGCAAGTAGTAGTGACGAAATACCAATAGAAGTCATTAATTTATGGCTTCGTCTAAGTTATATAAAGTTATATATTTAAAACATGCTAAAATTGGATTCGTGATTAAAAATTAATTAAAACTTTTAAAATACCTTCTCGAGAAGACTTCTTTTCAATTTCAATATAAAATAATTCAAAAATAATATTTCATCCTTCGAATGAGTAATTAATTAGCAAATAAAATTTTTCAAGCAAATTTGGCAAATTTTTAACATAACATTACGTGCCATTGTCTCGTTTGGTAAAAAGCTTAAGTGTTATCAAATTGGAAATCATTGGATTTGCAGCAATGGAATCGATTTATCCATTAATTTTACATTTTAAAAGAGGGAACATTATTCTAAATGTTTCTGATGCACCATTTTACTAGTTTCGAGGGAGCAATCGATCAAAGACAGCCATGGATTTTTAAAGATTTATGTTCAAATTGACGGTAATCTGAGAATAGGAAAATTCTATCGTGGCTGTCTTTGATCGCGTTTTTTCTTGCTCTTTCGATTGAATTCTCTGTCGCAATCTGATACTAGTGTGCCGTGGCGACTGACATAATCTGTAGAGAAAATTGGCAGTTTTAAAATTTATTTCATAATTATTTAGGATTCTAATCATTTGCGACACACAAATCGATACGACGTGTTGCTATAGACAAAAACTTGAGCCTCTAGATAGTGGTAATTATTAATGTGTTAATGTTTATATAAAATGTCACGAACCACAAATATTTTGTTTAGTTTTAAACTTTTCTGATTGTTAAAATAAGGTGTGTGTAATGTTAGTATTGTTATCGAATATATTGTGTGACTGGCTGCTCTCATATTTTCTCTAAGGGTCATAACCCCTACAGTACGAAAGAATACGTCTCCCGTTTCCGCCTGCCTGTCTGTCTGTTTGCCTGCTTGCCTGTCCGTCCGTCTGTGTGTTTGTCCGACGTCTGTGTCAATTTTTGTTAGACAAATAATCTCCGAAACTATCAGTAGTACTTAGTTAATGAATTCGGTTGAGTTTTTACACGGAACGTCCAGAGTTTAGAAAAAAAATCAAAATTATGTAACAACACTTTGCAATTTAATTTTGAATTTGCAAAATCGAATGCTTTGAAATCTTACAGATGTATGTGTAAATGGTTAGACGCTAATCAAAATGTGTTTAATCATCCCCACTAATAATTTCATGATATCACTTCAAAATTTTGCCAGGTAAACGCCTTTTAAACTTTATAAAATAATATATTCTTGTATTTACGGTTTATGGACCTGCCTTGACTTTTTGCCCTAGGCATCTAGATTTTCGCTAACAAAATCAAAATTGTATATAGCATTTCATGGTAATGTGCCAGAAACGTTGACCATTCGCTGACTACATTGGCTCAAATGGTTAGAGCGCGTGCTAATAACACAACGAAGCGGGTTCGGTCTCCCATTGGCCATTTTTGATTTCTTATACTGGTATTATCTATTTTTTTCTAAAAAACTCGCTTATTAATTTTTGCGAATATTAGAAGTTTCTTAGAGTTTGTGCTTGAGACTATTAGTACTTATTAATTTTGCCAACGATCTCAAACTGTATGATTGATGGTGAAAAATTAATCATATCCGAGCTTTTAAAAGTAAATTTGTTATGTTCCTTTTTCACCTGTTAGTTAAATTGACTCTAACCAGAAAAATAACATAATACTTTGCAAAAGTGGTAAGAAGGTGGTGCTCAGTATACCTATACAGGATAATCTTGGTAAAATCGGCGAACTTGATTTTTCCACTTGGGATTTACAGCGAGAAAAAGTCTCCCGCAACTAATGTTGAGTGTCAGCAGTAAGTTCTGAATACATGCGGGACATATGCTGGAATGTACTTAACCACTTGCTACCCTCGGAATACTGCTTACAGCCCTGAGCTGTTTTACTAAATATCGAAGCATATTTGATTCGTCCTGTGGCTTTTCCACCGTTACTAATTTCAAGTCTGACACGTTTAATGAAATAATTATTTCCCACCGTATCATGCCAATCTTTCTACACTAGAAAGAGTGTTTGCTTTTGCAGCAGACCCGTCAGGTCACCTTCCATGCAAATCACAACGCCTAGTTTTTTTTTTCTAAGTGAGTGTCGCGTGATGTGTCGTTTATTTGAATTTTATATTACGGCTAAATTGAATTCAAACTGATTTTTTTAATAAAAGGAAACTATTTATATCTAAGTAGAATTCAGTTTGATAATTATACGGAACCTCATGAAAGTATAAAGTAAAGGAATATTTACATTGCATACTATTCCAAAATTTCCAAGCATCAGCGCATCGAGGCGAATGTTTGGGTCTGCTTTACTCCATGAGTTTTCGCATCACTGCCACAAATTTACTATAAAAGTGGAACCCTGCGCAAGTTTAATAACAACATCCCCTATCGATTGGCGATCGAGTGTAGAATATAAGCGTCACTAATGCACTGCCTAATAATCGCCATGTGCTGTGGTACAATTTGCTCTTGAGCATCGTCCTCATCGAATTAAAATAATGGTCCAACATATTTTACCGCTCATAACCCGACCACTACGCAAAATAATCAGGACAAGAAGTTGTTCGGCAAGTAATTAATATGTAATGGAGCGGCCAGCGCAACAGCAGGTCGGGTTCGAGAAATTTCACAGGAAGTTGAGCGAATTATTTCTGTATTATTAATTAGAATGATTTATAATGGACGCGACGCAAAAGGGGCTAATGAGGGCTGTGTTTTAATAGCTCTCACGCTGCTAAATTTTCCTAAAAGCGTCACATTTTGACCTTCATTTGCAGATTTTTATATTGATTAGGAGGAACATCTGAAATAGTAATTATTGTAATGGAGTCCTTCTTTTCTCCCTTCGGAGGGTAAACAAGCCTATAACATGTTTATGAAAGCGTTTCGGGGCCCTGAAAATTGTTCAGATTCCTACCATCATCCCACGTCTCTGTCTTATCTGCTGGATACAGTGATCTGACAAAGAAAACGATATTTACGTGCGGGTGATGCCCTTTGTGCTCTGTTAAACGGGGCTGATCGTTTTGCACCGGTCTCGGTTAATAGCCACTGTAATTGAAAATATACCGACAGCGTTCTAATTTATAGCGCCTTGTAAAACGGATAAAATTGGCCTTAGACGCGCTTTAGAGCACAATCCTTCAGCGAGAATTCGTCACGACTACATTGTTTTTTCGTTGTCTGCTCGCTTTGACTTTTGTGTGGAGAAGCAACAAGAACTGATCTATCTGAAACTGTTTATTTAGTGGCAACATCTTAGCTCAAGCCATGTTTTCTTGTTTAACATGGTCAGTTTCGATTTAAAAGGCTGGACGTTACAAATCTCCATTCGTGTTTGCAGTTCAACTATTGACATTACACTTAAGGGCAAACGGAACTGAAAGTCTCTACGCAGAAACTCAGTTACTACTACTATTATCATCAATATAATTTGTGATCACATTACCTGAGAACAGAATTGGATTGGATCGGGGATTGGTTTATGCTATTACAGGAATCTCAAATTCCAAACTGGGTCATAGATATGACAAGATTAACTCACTTTTGACAAGACAAGAAGAAACACTGAACGACTGTTTTTAATAAACTGTCTCGATTTGTGAAAATGAACATTTTGAATTTCTAGTGTCTGCAGACATATTTCGGGGAATCTTTCTTTGGAATTCTCAATAAAACTGTTTCATTATTTTGAGTTTTAATTTTTATTCTTAAAAATGTAAATCAGTTTTGCAAGCTAGTGGTATGAAATTAACAAAAATCGCAGTATTTTCGTTAAAATAGGTTTCTTGTGACATTTAAAACATTGAAATGATATATACAGGTGTTCCAGATAAACTCCACCGCTTTATATCTTGAAAATGACATAGATATATTGAAATTTGATAAACGCCA